CCCAGGCGGTAGCGGGGGCGGTGTCGCTGTTGCCCTTTTAAGCCGCGGGGCCGCGGTCTCCTGCCGGCGGAGTCAGTTACAAAGAGAGCAGCCGCCCGCCGAGGCCTCGGTGCCCCTAGCCATTTTTCAGCCGCGATCCGACGTGGGCCTCGGCGGCGGGGAGAGGCGGAGCCGCGAGAGTGCGGCCCCAGGCCGGCCCTGTGGGGCGGTAGCGGCCGTGACGGCGGCTCTGGGCCCGGCTCCCCTTTCGCACCCCTCCTGCCGGAGATGAGGGGAAGATGTCCGTGTCAGGGCTCAAGGCCGAGTTGAAGTTCCTGGCGTCCATCTTCGACAAGAACCACGAGCGATTCCGCATCGTCAGCTGGAAGCTGGACGAGCTGCATTGCCAGTTCCTGCTGCCGCCTCCGTCACCGCCGGGCAGCCCGCACTCGCCGCCGCCGCTCACACTCCACTGCAACATCACGGTGAGGCGCCTGGCCTCAGCCCCTCGGAGCCCGGCGAGGGCGAAAGGGGCGCTCCGAGTCCCCGGACAAAAGGGAATCGATCTGGTAGAGGCCCCTTGGTTCCCGGGGCCCCGGGCGGGGCGGATCCGCCCCTTTCCCCGGCAAGGGGCCCAGCCCAGGCCCAGCCTTGCAAGAGCGAGGCTTGGGTGGGAGGGGGCAGGCGGCGCATTTCTCCGCTTTTTCCCCGGGGCTGGGTTTGGGGCTGGCCCCTCTCAGCCGCCTTCTCCGCGCCTCGGGGTGGGAGAACGCGGCGGCCCTTGCCCTCGCCGGGTCGCCATGGCTGTTCATAGCCGGCCTGCCCCCGGGGCCGCGGCGACACAAATCGACTTTGGCTGTTGGAGCCCCGGCAGGGAAGGGGGAAGGCCCTCAAGTTTTAACGCCTTACTCTTCAGTCAGGTTTCCCTCGTCTTGCTTATTCAGCCGGTTATTTTTAAGTTTTTGTTTAAGGAAAAACTGATACTGAAAACTGATGCATTTGCTGGGGGAAAAGTTCAGAATGCAGCCTCTGGTACTGTTTGAATTATCCCCTCCCTGCTGGCCTTGCTCCGCGCGTACGTGTTTCCGAAAGGCTCTTTGTACCTGGATTCGGCAGGTGGTGGTATCGGTGTTTGCTTACGTAGCCCCTCTTGTGTGTAAGCCTTTAAAATTATCTGCAGCCCAAAGGAGATATTTGCCCAGGTCTTCTTCCCAGAAAGATTATTTTATGTCACAAAGCCAAAAAGGCAGTTTAAAGCTCACTCTTTGGTTTAAATTGGAAGCTCGTTAGAAATCCGGGGCTTGGTAAAGTGACCCAAGTGTTTAATAAGTTTTTTCGTGAATGTGTATGATGAAACCGTTCATGGTGAAAGTGATTTAGGGTATTGTTCCAAACTGCAGAATGAACTTCTTGTAGCAGGAGTCAAGGTGGTAGTTTTATGTTCATTCGAACCATGTCTGGTGTCTTTGAATCCTTTTGGTTAAGTCAGTGGGCTACTCGGGTGCCTAAAGTGTTCTGGTCTGGTACTCGAGAGTTTGGAAAGGGCTTGGAGTTACGATAATTGACATTAAAATAATTTCCAGAAAATCTGGGGGAGCAGGTGTGTATTGGGGGGGAAATACAAGTGCTGTACTGAGGAGAGAAGTCATTTATTGAGCATTTAAGTGTTCTGTTCTAGGCACTGGTTTTGCAAAACTGGGCAGAGCAGTCCCTGCTTTCAGAACTAAATCTTCTTGGGGGAAGAGTTTTATATAACCAAGTGTTACTAAGTTCTATGGTGTCATTATGAAAGCCAAAGAGAGCAATTAATTTTGAGTTTGGTGGTTGGGTGGTGCTTCAGAGAAGGCTTTGGTGAGAGGCTGACGTTGGAGTTGGGCTTTCACAGGTAAGTAGAATCTTGGGAGTGGAAGCACATTTCAGGCAGAGGAAACTATCCAGAAAAGACACCAGTGCTTGAGAAAATGCTTTGCTTAGGAGTAGACAAATTATGAGGATATAGGCTGGTAAAGGAGAAGATATTCCAAGAATGGGAAACAGGAAGTGGTAGTGAGCATGAAGGAGACTGGCCTGTATGGTGATTGTTCTGGTAGAAATTGGGGTATGGCCCGGAAAAGGTAGGGGTAGTTTGCATGATAGAATACGGAACTTGCAGGCTGTGGGGAGCTACTAAATTACTGAGGTAAGTTGGAAAAATGTGTTTGCTATCTAGCACTAGGGGTAGTTCTCTACAGTGTGTGGTATTAGGAAACGTGTGTGTATGGTTTTGGTTATCTCAGGTGCTGTAGGGTAGTGTTGCTGCTGTGCTGGCAGTCTGCCACAACAAAGAATTATCCCGCTTCAAATGCCAGCACAGTCCCCACCGAGAACCATAGAAGAGGCTGATAGGAGTCAGCTGCACACAGAATACTGCGTGAAGACCTGGATTAGGAAATGGAGCAAGGAGTGAATTAGAGACACCCAGTGAAAGGAGGATTTGGTAGAGACTTGTATAATGGTATTATAGTAGAAACTACTCAAAATTATGACAGGTATTATCAGAAGATAATTATCATGGTGGATACTCAGTGTATATGAATGTGTATTAATTTTTTATGGGAAAATATCAAACATATACAAAAGGTGAGTAGTGTGGAGAACTTCCGTGTATTCAGCCTCAACAGTGATAAATTTTTGGCCAATCTTACTTCATCTGTACCCCACCTCAGATTATTTTGAAGCAGGTTCCTGACCTGTCACTTCATCTGTAAATATTTCAGTGAGTATCTCTAAAAGACTCTTTAAGCCTAGGTAGGTGTTTTGATAAAATCTACATGGCTTGCTTGTGCTGGTACCATTTTCTTAGAAGGGAAAGAGCAAAGAAAAAACTGTTGGATTTCCTGTCTATTGTGTTTGTGAATTGCTAGTCTCTAAAAGGTTATAGCTCTTAAAAAAAAATGAGTTTAATCTGTTCTTTAATTTTTCCTCTTACTTCCTTATTCCCAAATATTTGTTGAGCTCTTCTACATGCCAGGCCCTGTCTTTTCCATTGCTCACCAAGAAGCATACTTACACAGTTTAAGTTTTGAGTAAACGGCACCTCACAAATTGTTTCCTTACACTCATGCGTGCCAGTTTCTGAATAATCTTCTAAAGATACTCTGCCCCTTTTTCTTTCAGGCTTCTGAATCTGTTTTTCCCATGTGGAATGTGCCCCTTACCCCACCCCCGTCTGTCCTTCCACGTTTGACCATCCCTCAAGGCTCTTCTAGGAAGTCGTATTCAGTTCCTGCTGGTATTTATTTCCTCTTCCTCCCTTCTGTAATCTTTACTATTTACTGCTTTGGTTATGTGTCCTTATGTCCTATTACAATAGTTTTAGATTTTTTTTTTGTAAGTTTTTTTTTATGATGGCAGGGGAGAATAGTCTCTAATCATGCTTTTCATCTTCCATTCAGTAAATGCTCAGTAAATACTTGTTCTATTTTAGTTCTATTTTAGTTATATTCTGTATGAACAAAAATCTTAACTGTTGTGTAAGTTAACTGCCAAGAGTTTGTCAAAAGTGCAGAGATAACATCAATATATATTTTAAATATTTAAATACTTAACAGGTCACTGGATGGGAAATCTGTAATTTGATTTCATATGAAAGACTATCTTAAGAAGGAGAAAACAGAACTTACATAGATGTTTTACTGTTTAGGCCAAGGGAATTGAGCTAAATCTTTTTCGGTTATATAAATTTGTCCTAATCTTAAATATGAAGGGAAAGAATGCTATTTTCAACCTCAGGGAGTCTTTTTTATTACTTGTTTTGTGTGAACTCATGATATGAGGGAGTGTCATGCAAACAGATCTAATTGCCAGTTAGTGCTAACATTCAGTTGTTAACGCTCACACCTAAAAGCAAAGCAGCTTGTTTTAGTAACCTGTGTGGCCTTATTGGGAGCTAGTATATGGCATTCTTTTAGTCCTTTTGAAATATTTAATATAACTTGGCAACTTCATTTCTCCTTATATGGACTTCTTGACATCTGGTAACTCTTGGTAGGCAATCAGTATTTCAGAGTGAAAAATTCCTCCCCCCCCATGTAAATTAGCTGGTAAACAAATAAAACTTTATGCTGATTTTATTGTTTGTGTGGCATAAACCATTACTCTTCTTGCATGAGTGGCTATTTACTAGACTACTTGTGGTAGCACATTTTTAATTTTGCTAATTAAATTTCTCTTGGTCATATCCACAGTCCCCTTTCCCCTCCCCACCTCACCACCAACAGCAAGGCACTGAAATAACAAATGTTAGAGCTCTGAGAGAAAAAGGTTTAGTCTATACTTAGTAGTTGGGACTTTAAGCAAATCACTTTTTCTACTGTTTTTCTGTAAAGTAGACAGTACTTTTTGTCCTGCATGAAAGCTTATAAAGAAAAGCTCTTTAACAATAACAATGTTCTCTACAAATATGAAATTGATGGGGTCATTTGTGGCTGAATAACATTTTATTTTGAAAATGGTTTCTGACAGCTTTTCATGGGAAATAAATCAATGCTGTTAATTTCTTAATTTTTCATGTTTCTAGTCTTTACACTGATTAAAAAGTAGCCCCACCAAGGTTATACAAAGAAAATCATGAACCAACTTGGTTAAAGAGCCCAAGACCTTGGGGCGCCTGGGTGGCTCAGTCAGTTAAGCATCTGCCTTCGGCTCAGGTCATGATCCCAGGGTCCTGGGATAGAGTCCTGCATCGGGCTCCCTACTCAGTGGGGAGTCTGCTTCTCCCTCTCCTTCTGCCTGCCGTTCTCTCTCTGTCAAATAAATAAACAAAATCTTAAAAAAAAAAAAAAAAGACCCCGAGACCTTTTCTTTGGTCTGCCTTCCTGGGACGGATTACCTTTCCAAATTGAACACCTGGAGAATCATTTGGAAATAGCAGAACTGTCATGTTAAGCACCTAAGCGGTACTTTAAGCCTGGAGGAATCATTGTTTTCATTCATCTGACCAATTTATAATACAGAGTCAACTTCCTAGTCATTATCTATCTATCCTCCTCTACCCCATTTTTATGCCCGTCCTTGAAAGAACAGGTACATGAAGAAGAAACTTAGGTTTCCATTTTATGAATGGTGTATGCCTTAGTAACCCGATTTTTTTGTTGTTGTTGTTAAACTTCTTTAGACCTGGAAAAGATTAGATAAATGTCAGCTAGTTGAGGGGTGGGGAATTGAATTGAAACAGTCACTGCCAAATGTAAAGCATTACTGGAGAGCCAGAGTAATGAAGCAGAGTCCCCTTTGCCAAGGCCATTGTAACAGTGTTCTGTGTTCTCTTCTAAAAGATTATTCTGAAAGACGCAGTAGACTCAGAATCAAGGAAACTGTCTGTTTCTGCAGATCAGGTGGTTTGAATCTTCAGCACCTTTATTTTCTCTGCCTCAGTTTAATTAGAATGATGTTTTGATTTTTCATTCTGCCTTTGTGGGCTCTGATAATATTACTTAGTTGTTTCCTTGCAAAATGATTAGCAGGGAGCACTCTCTTTTGGTAGCTTTTTTTCCTCCCAATGTCAGAGCATTCAGGGGTGCCTGGGTGGCTCAGCTAGTTAAGCCTCTGCACTCAGCGGGGAGTCTGCTTGAAGATTCTCTCCCTCGCTCCTCCCCCATCTCACGCCTGGGTGTGCGCCCGCTCTCTAAAAACAAGTAAGTCTTTTAAAAAAATAAATGTCAGAGCATTTAGACTTTTCTTAGAGTACTATATGGTGATTCTGTTGGTTTCATTCTCCACCCCACATTTACTGAACAACAAAGTGTGAAAGTAATGTGTCCCATAAGTGGCCTCTGGAAGAATTACAACTGTTAGACTTCTGAACCTTCAACAGAAAGTTATATGCATCCGTGTTCAAAAAGTGATGAAGTCCTTGGAGATGGCCATGGTCTATTATTTGGAAAGATAGTAGAGACTGAGCATCCTGGCAGGCAGTTTTGCTGGCTGGTGCTTGATACAGAGCCACACATTGGTGTCTTACTGGATTTGTGTAGAAAATAGATGCAGAAAGTTATTTCTTTCTTTTTTTTTAAAGATTTTATTTATTCATTTATTTGAGAGAGTGAGAGAGAGAGCACATGAGAGGGGGGAAGGTCAGAGGGAGAAGCAGATTCCCTGCCGAGCAGGGAGCCCGATGCGGGACTCCATCCCAGGACTCCAGGATCATGACCTGAGCCGAAGGCAGTCGCTTAACCACCTGAGCCACCCAGGCGCCCCCAGAAAGTTATTTCTGAATAAGACTGCTGGTTTCTGTGTTGTGTTTTGTTTTGTTTTTTTTTCTATTTTAAATAATGCTGTGGACATTAATAGCTAGAGCTAAATCATTATGCATATAGGTAATGTCCTTTGAAACTTTCCTGGAAGTGATGGCTTCCCATTCTTATTGATGAATTGGTTTCTGGAGCTTTAACAAATTATATTGGATAGGAACTTTTTTTTTTCTTCCAGGTAGAAGCTTTTATTTAACAGATTGGTAAAAATGTTAGCAAGTGTGCAGTGAAAGGGGTGTTCTCACAGTCATGGCAGAAAATACAAATATCTATGACCCTTGAGAAATTGGTTTACATAAACCCTCTCTGTTTTAGCAAGATATAAATATTGACTATCCCAGGCTGACTGGTCCTTATGACTCCAGAGCTCCCAGAAGAATTTTAGTCCTGGAGAAGACCTAGATTTGTCTGGCTTAGCCCATCTTACAGCTAACTACTGGGAGTGGAATGGGCTCATAGAGACCTGTGACCAAGTTTTGGGTCAAGGGAGAGAGATGGAAAGATGGGAAGGAATTAGGGAAACTAGCTCCAGTGGAACCACGTAGGTTAATATAGAATGGTGAAGGGATGTTTCTTCCAAGGAAAACATTCTGGGCTGGGCTGCAGGAGGTGTGGAGAAGGCCGCTGTTCTAAAACTTTTTGGAGTCAAAACTTTTATACTGTTTAAAAGTGAGGGGTGTGTGGGTGACAGTCAGTTAAGCATCTGATTCTTGGTTTCGGCTCAGGCCCTGATCTCAGTGTGGTGAGATTGAGTCCCACATGGGGCCCACATGCTTAAAACTGACTCTTTCCCCCTGCCCCTTACACCCTCTAAAATAAAATAAATTTAAAAAAACAAAAAAAGTGTACTGAGGGCCCAAGGAGCTTTTATGTAGGTTACCTATCAATATTTATCATTAGAAATTAAAGCAAATATTTAAAATATTCATTGAAGTAAACCTTTTAATAAAATATTATGGGAAATGGCCATATTTTGTAAACTAAAACATTTTAGTGAGAATAGTGGCATAATTTTACATTTCTTTAAATCTCTTTGATATCTGGTCTGTCATTTGTTTCTGCATTCAGTCTGTAAGGGGATTTGTTTTGGTTGAAATAATATGAAGAAAATTCAGTCTCACAAATATTTGGCTGGGAAAAGTAGGAATATTTTAATAGCCATTTAGATAATTGTAGATATTCTTTTTGGATATTTCACCAAAACGTGGTCTTTCTTATAAAGATTTTATTTGACAGAGAGAGACACAGTGAGAGAGGGAACACAAGCAGGGGTAGTGGAGAGGGAGAATCAGGTTTCCTGCTGAACAGAGAGCCCGATGCGGGGCTCATCCCAGGACCCTGGGATCATGACCTGAGCTGAAGGCAGACCTTAATGACTGAGCCACCCAGGCACCCCAGACTTGATCTTTCTTGAACTGTGAATGGATCTTCTGTCCTTGCGTGATTTATAACATCATGTATTCATCACTTGGAAAATATGGTTCACTGAAATCTAAATGTTGAAATGTTTCATTATATAGTATGAAGACATTATATTAAGATCACCAGCAACCTCATCAGAATATTCTTAGCTCTTAAGCTCATAGCAGTGGATACAGATTTTCCAAAATTCTAATTTTTGCTTGAAAGCTTGAATTTTATCATTGGCAATAAATACTGTCCTTTGTTTTCCTTGAAATGACATACTCTATTCATTTTTGAGAAAATGTCAGAAACCTGAGTTGAAATAACCATTGTCTGTCAGTCATCCTTTCGGGTAAAATTGGTGTTCCTTTAAAGTGGTTAGTTCACTTCACAACTCAGTCACACAAATGCTTTTTCTCAAGTATTCTGTAAGAGTTCTCATGTGTGCATTCCATTTCATCAGTTGCAATATTAAAAAGACCTATATAAGGATTGAGATTTTGTAAAAGAACTTTTACTACTTATTCACAGATATTCTTAAGTAAAACCTCTTTTTTTCTTTGTCTTTTAAACATCTTAAATGCATAGTGGTGAAGAATACCATGACTCCAAGTGTAGTTTGGTGTCACTGCCTTTATTTGTGCTAAGGTTCCAGCAGTTTTACCTAGGGGCTTGAGGGCCCCACTTTGAAAATTATTGACGTAGTTGCTTAGACCTATAAATCCTATCTTCTCATGTACAGGATTAGAAGAGCATGGCATAAGCAGGAACTGATCTCAGTAATTTTTGTTGTTGTTACAGTGCTCATAATATGGTTTTAAGGGGTTTTAGTCCAGAGCAACAATTCATATATTTTATTTTGCTTATGTAGAATTAGACAAACACTAATCTACATGGTGAAATTCTAAAATTTAGTTGGGTGGTGTTTTTGTTTTTGTTTTTTCCTGTTTTGTTTTTTGGAACTAAGGTCTAGGTGGTATATTCCAAACTAGGCTGAAGAATTTGAAGAAGAAAATGCAATACTCAATAAGTAGTTTTCTTTAAGAACCCAGGATTAATTTTGAAGATAGTTTTTCTTTTAGTCTGTGAATAGCTTTGGGACACACTGAAAATTAGAGAAATGAGAATACAAAATAAACCATTATTGAATAGATCTAATGATGTTTTTTTTCAGTACAGTTTTTTGTTCTATAAAGAACATTTGGTGAAGTGCTTCAAAAATAGTTTCTTTGACTTCAACTATATTGTAATTGAGATTATAGTTCTCACAGCAATGCTTCTTTAATACTGTGTTTCTGAAAAATTGTTTTTCCATAACTAGAACCTAATTGTTTGGCAGCTAGTATCTAATAATAGTGACTTTTTCCTAATTTATAATAGAAAACAGTACAGAGTAAATGTCTATTAGTAGGTGAAAGCATGTAATGCTTTTTTCCGTTAACCTTTAAAAATCAACACATGTAATGGTACTTTAAAAAATATGTAACTATAGCATTTCTTGTAAGTACTCAGTTTGCGATGGAATAAAATATTAGAATTTTATGGGGTTTAAATTAGTTATATATTGCTCTGTAACATGTAGTACCCTAAAACAGCAACATTATCTCACAGTCTCTGTGGGTCAGGGATCTGTGTATGGCTTATCAGGGTTCCCTGGCTTCCAGTCTCTCTCAAGGCAGTAAAGGTGTTGGCTAGTGCTGAAGTCATCTCAGAGTGAGACTGGGAGAGACTCTCCTCCAAACTCATTCATGTAGTTTTGGTAGGATTAATCTCCTTACAGGCCTCAGGTCTGAGGGCAGCAGTTGGTCAGAGGCCTTGCTCAGTCTCTTCCCATGTGGCTGTGGGCTTCTCCATAGGGAGATGGCTTCATTGCAGGGGGAAGGGGGGTAAATGAAAGAGCAGGAGAGGGTAAGCAACACAGAAATTCTCATCTTTTTGTAACCTAATCCTAGAGGTGATATCACATTATTTACTGTAT